AACTCCTTGTTTTTTCTGAACATGGAGCCTGAAATCCTCATGTGTGGAAAATAAATGCATGAAGCAAAGCGCTTACTTCACCGTCGATCAAATCTATACCCAACTTGTAGTTCGGCTTGTTTATAAAAGCACAAATATAATCGATCATTCATCAGGATTATTGCATTTTGGAGCATCGATTTTGATTTTAAAAACAGCGTGGGAACCGAGCTCCACGCAATATTTTATTCAACCTAAAAATGTAAACAAGCATCTATACTTGGTGGTCTCTCATTATCTTCTTTTCCTCTCCCTCCCCGCAGCAATTCTTCACCTTCAACCCGTCCAGGAGAATATCGGCCTTCACTGCGTTGAGTCACCCCTACTTTCAAAGCGTGGACAGCCACAGCAGAAGTGTGTACGCAGCCCAGCCCATACCCAGCAACAAGTCCACGATGGAGGAGAGGAGTGCCTGAAAGTCCTCTTTTTTTTCCCCTTTAACCGCCCCCCCCCACGTTCCCCTGGCTATAAGTAGTACTTACCGAACCGTTCCTAAAAAGTTTGTCATGTTTTATTTCAGCGTTAAATCAAAGTACATTAATGAAGTTTTTTTTGGCACTGATTACAAGAAAAATCTCAAACACTCAAATCAAGTAAAAACAAAACAGCTGGTTACAGGAGAGTTCACCATCTCAAGAAAATATTTAAGTCCAGAAAAGGCATCAGTGTTTGAGTACTGCAGCTTTTCTCCATCATGATGACGCCATTCTGTGATGAGGTTTCAAAATCTATTCTTTGCTTTATTGATCTCTCTCCTCAAGTCCTCAGTGGCCTCCTGCAAAGACGCGTCACCACCAACCTATAGCACTTAGTTATTGGTCAGAAAGCTTTAATTGAGGGGCGATTGCCGAGCTGTGTTTTAATGTTTGTCCTACGTGCCAAATACAGGCTGACAAGTAATGAGATTTTCCAGCTGTTGGGCCCTGCAGGCGTGATCTTAACTAAACAACAGCACATCTGGGTCTCCATCAGCAGCGCTCAGCCACATTAGTTCAATTCAGTTTTATTTATTCCAGAAAGATAAAGGCCAAATCACAACAGCAGTCACCTGGAGATGCTTTATTTTGAAAGGTAGAGACCCTTGATACCAGAAACCTGATAAGCAATGAGTTGTATCAGCTGATGCAAAGTGTGACACAGTTTAGAGCGGTAACTTCCTTAAATGTTTTGTCTTTATGACTTTTTTCTGATAATCAGTGTCAAAAAAAGCATCATTAATGTTGGTTTAAGTTGCTTATAAAACAAAGCCTAAAACAGACTACAGTGGGCAAATACTTTCCCCCCTGGGGCGTATAAAACGCTCTGGGGAGCAGGGAGCGGGTGAAGATGGCGTCAAAGGGATGGCACCAAATGCCCCCCAGAACCCTGCACACACAAGCTGTCATCCTTCCACGAACTGATGGATTGTAAATGCTGCTTTCAGGATGTGAAATGTTGTGTAACAATGCAAAGTGACCCAATTCTCATATGGATTTGGAGTTGGGACTGTAGAGTCCGAAGAGCGGAAACCTCCTTATGCCCAGTGTTTATCCTTATCAATGGAAAAAAAAAAAAGACTCTGGACTGCAGGGGAGAGAGAGAGAGAGGACCAGACCAGAGCCTGGATGGATCTCACCTGCCTCTTTATTTTTGTTGTTCTGTTGTCTTGTTTGTTTGTTTGTTTTTATAAATAGCTTGCTTACTGCTGGTGTGTGCAGTGAGAAGACGAACGTTTCACACGCACATTTATTGTCCCCACTGCCGCTGACATAAGCACGCTCATGTACCCATGTACTCACTCAGACATTGTTAGGCATCACAAACCAGCCACCCACTGCCATGTCCATTATCATTCCAGTTTTACCTATAATAATGGTGCCACCTTGTGGAAGTCTAGAGTAACTGCAGACCAGTAGCAGGATTCTAATGGTTTCTGCACACATCGAGGAACTCATAACGGGGCTGATATCCGTGCTGAGACAATGAGACATCTTGGAGTTGTTCCTACCACTTACATAGACTTTGACTTTTTAATGACTTTTAGCTGTACCATCGTGAACTCTTTGTTTTATAATTATTGTGAAATCCAATTATTTCTTTCCAAATCATACCGTAATGCACAGACAGACCTGCAGGAAGTGTCAAAGAGAGACCCACAAGCACTATTCATTCAACATGGTAGAATTTTGGCACACTTTTGTGTCACTAATATTCTGTATTTAATTTTAATTTTATTGACGAGTCTTATATACTTGTAACTTGATTTTTTTTTTTTTTAATTTTTTTAATGCTGGGGTATACAGTGTTCTTACACCAGTGATGCCAACTCATTAAAGGATTGTAGAGTCCGTGTAAGAATAGTTTGACGTTGTAAGGAATGTATAAAGGAAAAGCATTGGTACTGTACAGTAAATTGTGCTAGTTCTAAAGTACAAGCTGTAACAATAGAAACCTTTTGATATGTGCATTTGTCAGCACATAGACATGTCGTTAAAACGGATAGACGTAGAGTAGCGAGGGTCTGCAGAATGTCGCATGGCAAGAGGGGTTTCTTTGTTTTCTGATTTATTTGCGTGGGGTGGGTTGTTCCGATGGATTTCTTTTACCATGTGTTGAGAACTACTACGGATTTTCCAGTAGTTTTGATGACGTTGTGATGCACAATATTTTGTGTACAGTTTCTGCTTTATTTTACCTTGGCGTGCCGTTCTATCCAAGCTAAGTTTTGACCCGCGAGGTAAAAGCAAGTTTTTCCAGAGTTGTATTTTTGTATTTAGTAGTTCTTGCAGAACAGTAACTTTGTAACACTGGTTTTTGTTTTTGGGTTTCGTAACAGGTAGTGCTTTTAGCACACAGACACAGACACACACAGACTCAATCTCTGACTTTCTCAGGTTCTCTCCACGGACGTCCGAAACCTTTCGGGCACAGTTTGCACATCTCTGGGTTACTGAATGACTACAATACAACTTCTTCAGGTTCTCTGTCAAGCTGTCTAAGGATCGTATCATTGATCACAATCTACTGTCTTTACTATTTATCGAATATATGTTACTGTAGTTCTTACTGTCTGAAGATAACTGCCTGTATAAACTGTTCTTGCCACAAACTAATGGCCAGGTGGCAAACATGACAGAAATACATGTCTGCTTAACACTGTGTGATTTAAATTTTTTCTTTTTTTTTTCTATTTGATAACGACTCATTTCTGGTGTAAGTGGCATCTACAATGCAATGAAAGCTACAAATGCGTTAGACACGGAGGTTTACATTTAAAATATTGACTGCTTTAATCTCATTACAGTTAATACAGTCACTGTGTGCTTTCTTATGATTTAACCGATCTGTAATGCTCTTCAGTCTCATAACAACTGAAATCCACTGCTGAACTCTAAGCAGTGTCACTATTTTTGAACGTCGCTTCATCCATCACTCAGATTGGCATTATACTTGTGTATGAATGCATCGGTGTCTTATTATTATGTTGCACCAGCTGAATAAAAAGCAGCTTTTTATTAATGTTGTTTGGACTTATTCATCAGGGTTGGAGTAAATACAGAGGGATAATGCTCATGAGGCGTACATGAAGAAATGGGAAAGAGGCGATTGGTGAGCAGGAGTATGGCTGCATGCTGAGAAAGAACGCTATGAATCTTATGTTTGCTTTCAGTGCTGATGGAGAAGGTCAGGAAATGCACTGTCTTTGTGGGACTAGAGAAAGTACTGAAACATAACAGAATACATGCTGTTCAGGTTCACTTCTCGACCTCACCGATCCGTTTGATATCCCAGCTGGAGAAGAAGAGTCAGATGAAGCTGACGTTTTCGTTCATCAAAGCTTCATTACCAATGCGCGTTGGGAGATCACACTACATGCAGCCACAGCAAGCACCAAGTGGATCTGAGGAGCAATTCCTCAATCTGTTCATTATAAAGGCTCTGGGCGCTCCCTTAAGGGACTTGCCCTATATTTATCTAGTAGTCCCACAAGCATCTTGCAACCTTTAAATCACATGATTAGACATGGGGGCTACAGGTGAGCCCACCCTACGCCCACTACAGTCAGCAAACCGAGTCATACAAAGAATACGTTGTTTCCTTATCAAGGACATTCAAGGCCACACCCCCTAACGTTCACATAGAAAGGTACACTCCCCAACTGTTCCTTTATAGTTTCCTGCTTTTCTATTCTTTACAACCTACTCCTTATCTCTGCATATCATAGGGGAACTGAAACATGCCACCTGCTTTAATACTTTCTCACAATGTGTATGAATGAGAGGGAAACAGGTGTAACAGTGAAACAGCAAAGAGCAGAGATAGTGAGGGTAGATGAGTTTAAATGCCTGGGGTCAACCATGCGAAGCAACAGGCAGTGCACAAGAGAGGCGAAAAAGGGGGTTAGGCAGGGAGGAGAATGTCATAGGGATCATTTGTGACAGAAGAATAACCTCAAGAGTAAAGAGAAGGTTTACAAGATGATAATGAAACCTGCTATGATGTATGAGTGACAAAAAGACGGGAGGTGGAGGTGAAGATGTCAACCTGGTAGTGAGCAGAATGGACATGATTAAAAATTAGTATATCAGACGGACAGCTCAGGTTCAGCAGTTAGAGTTAGAGAGGCGAGGCTGAGATGGTTTGGACCTGTACAGTAGAGGCATAGTGGATATAGTGGACAAAGGATGTTGAAGATGGAGCTGCAAGGCAAGAAGAAAAAAGGAAGACATGCAGAGAGTTGGTGTGACAGAGGAGGATGCTTGCGATAGGGTGAGATGGGGGAAAGAGGATCAGCTATGGTGACCTCTAAACGGAGCGGCCAGAAGAAGAAGTAAAATAAAAGTATTAGTAATAGCATTAACTTCTGGCTTATTTCGCAATGTCGCACACTACTTGGATTCTGACACAAAATCCTGCTCTTTTCCAGAAGGGGGCAGTAGTGTAGTATTTGCGACGGCAGCCGCCTATTGTGCAGCCGAAGAAGAAGAATCAGTCGAGCTTTTATCAACTCGAAGTGGCTACGTAAATGTTAGCAAGGTGACACAAATGGTTGTTCTTTCTCTTGGATATTGTTTCCCATTGCTGACTCGACATGGGCAAGAGAGACAATCGAGTGGTGAGTGGTGCCGCATAATTTGATTAAAATTATTTGCATATGTACCGCGTGACATTTAGTAAACAAGATAAAAATAAACGGGCTAGCGCTGCAGTTAGCATTGGTTAGCTTACGTACGTGTCCACTAGGTTTTGTGATGCTAGGCCTGCTGTGTACGGTGGTTAGTTTAGCCGCGCATATACACACTTAGCTTGGAAATGCAACAGTGTAGATTGGTTTCTTTAATCTTTAGGCTTTCAAACAGCTTGATCCAGGCTTGATTGACGCAAAGCTAACGTTAGCTTAGTGCATCAGAAGGTAATCCTAAATTTGGGAGTAGTTCAGGTTCTTAGGCGCACTGCCTTGACCGTCGTTGATTGGCAGCAAATACAGCAACTACTTTATTACTGATTACTACTGTAATTTGTGTTCTCCAGTCCCTGTTTTAAATGTTGTTTAAATGTTTAAATGCGCTGTGCCTGCTAATGTTAATATTGGTGTTACTTTTGAGCGTTTTCCAAGTGTCTCCCCCTTTAATGTTAGCCAAGGATATTGCTCTCTCAATAGCCTCGGGAGGCTCCAGGTACACACAAATCTTACACAGTAGCAGAGTCCTGCTGTAAACCCCATGCCCAGGCTCTGTTTGCCCTGTTTCACAGCTATTTTAGCGATCCAGCATGTAGTACTGGTGAATTGCAATGCATTATGCCATATTTTAAGTGTCCCTCTATTAGAAGGATGGAAATGAATGCTTTTGTCTGTGTTTCAGGCTTACATTAACCCCATTGCTGCTGCACGAGCCAGGGGGCCGGTACAGGGCTCTGGGCCAACCATTCAGGATTATTTAAGCAGACCTCGACCAACATGGTAAGTAAAGGGCAGATCTGCAGCTTAGTGGTGTAAAGTGGTGTCCTCACTTTATCATCACCACAAGAACATTTTTGGTGTACTATTAAAGAGCCAAAGGAGTCAAGGTGCATACATCTGGCAGCACAATCTTTGTTAAGGGGTTTTAATAAATTCAAAACTCTAAAGCGTATGAACAGTATTAAGTAAATAAATCTATTAGTGATTCCTAAATAAGAATACTAACCTCACCTTTAACTAGAAGAATCCAGTCTTTCCCAAAAGGTGACAGTTTTGGAATTAAATCCGTTTTTAAAAAATTATTTATTGTGTTTAGGGAGGAGCTAAAGGAACAGCTGGAGAAGAAGAAAAAGGGCTCTCGAGCCCTGGCTGACTTTGAAGACAAAATGAATGAGGTACGTTTGCATTATATACAGAGTATTTGAACAGGCATGAACTGGGCTGTTAATCAACACAGTTTTCCTCTGGAGTTAGCTTACTTTTAATACTCCACGGCGGCCTTACTTGTGTGTAAGTTAAAAAGACAAATGAATTCTTAAAGTTATTTGTGGGTGGCACAGGGGTGCACTTGTTCAAACATCCTGGTCAGCTGGAGCCTTTCTGTGCTTCCTGGTACTCTGGCTTCCTCCCATAGTCCAAAGATGTGTTTGTTTGGTTAGTTGGTTATTATTAATTGGCTGTTTATGTACAAGTGTGAGAATGTTTGATACAATGGACTCGGAGCCTGGGTGCAGGTGTACCGCATCTTTTACCTTCTTAGGGAAAATCTGTGTTTGCAATGGAAACATGCCCGTACTGTGAGAGCTTGAGAGCTTTTTTTAATTTATTTTTGTGTGTAGAGCATCTGAAGCGTCATCACCGTTTCTCACTGTAGCCACATTGTAATTCATATTAGATGAAAATATTGCACCTTATTGAAACAGTTACCGGATAAACACCACATACTATTTTGGTAACATTGTTTCTTGTTTTTTAAGAGATGGAGGAAAGAACTCGCCAAAAACAGAGAGAAAATGTTAGGCGGAAGTGAAAAGGACAAGGAGGAGAAGAAAGACAAAAAAGAGGTATGATATGAATCCTGTATCAGAGTCATGAAGTATTATTTTTATTTCTCACCTTTACTCACTTTTTGTTTCTCTGTGCTTCATTTGCTTGGCATTTGTGTTTAGAAAAAGAAGAAGGAGAAGAAGAAATCCAGCAGGGTGAGGAGAGACCTCCAGTATTTTGATTGACAGCTGTGCCATGTTACTGATACATACACACAGAGTGCATGTTTTCTAAACTCGTCTCTTATTCAAGCCTGTAAATGCAGTTTGTTTTTTCAAACAATCGAATAACCTCATATCTAATGAACCCTGCTTCCACTGTGTTTTGGTCAAGCATTCTTCATCTTCCTCCTCCTCATCGAGTTATGATTCCTCCAGCAGCTCCTCCTCAGAGTCAGATGACGAGGTAAGGTCCTTTTTTACGATTGATTTTACATCTCATGTAGGGCTGCACGATTTTGCATAAAATGAGAATCACGATTTTTTTTGCTTAGAATTGAGATCACAATTCTCTCACGATTTTCTTTTCCAATATAAATATTTATTGCGCTTATTAACTGCACATCAACTTCGTAACAGTTGAGACTGAACATAAAAACAATAAATGTCTCACATTTTGTTGTTGCCGCAAAATGTTGTACTGCTTGTAATTCCGCCTCCACCGTTGCTCGACACTGCGTGTATAGAGCAGGTAGTGCAACATTTGAAAAATAGTTGCGGGACGGCACTGTGTAGCATTTGTCTAGGGTGTTCATCATTTTCCTAAATCCCTTGTTTTGCTCAGTGTTGATGGGAGCCATATATTTAGCCAGGTGATAAGT